GTCCCTGTCTCTCTCCTCCCTAATGTGCCTCCATGCTTAAGTGGAAGGTATTTCTGTTTTCTTTGTGTGTTTTCCCCTCGGCCGGGGGCGGGGGCGGCGGCCGGGCCGGGGAGGCGGCGGCCGGTGGGGCGAGGGATGCTCAGGGCGCAGGTGTTGGGGGGGACAGGGGACCGCTGCGTGCAGGCTTGGGAGAAAGGACCCGGGCGACAGGAGTCCTGGGACCAGAGGGGGTCAGGGATTGGCGAGGCTGGAAACCGAGCGGGGAGGGCCTCGTGATGCCCGGGGCGAGGGGGCCCGAGGGGTGAAAATTTAAAGGGGTACGTGTGGAGGGAGGAGGGGTGGGGAGAAGAGGAAGGGGGATGGATGGTGAGGGGAGTGGGGGAGGGGAGAGGTCCATCCGTGGTGGAGGAAGAGGAGGAAGCGGGGGTGGGGGAGGGAGGCGACGGGGATGAAGTGTGTGTGGGGGGGAGCCTCAAAGGCCTCTCTTTCCCCCAGGTCCCAGGATGGGGTGAACGCACTTGGACGGTGGTGGTAGGCGCTTTGCGCCAGCCAGCCCCCCAGGGAAGGAAGGGGATGAGTGCGTTCTGGGGTTGGCTGTGTTGCCAGGATACGAGCATGTTATTCACCCCCCCCGCCCCCCTCACCTCGAGGCCTTAGCCCTGGAGACCTCAGAGCCTAGGCAGCAGTTGCAGAAACTGGGGACCAGCTCCCCGCTCAGCTGGCGGGTAGGGAGGGGCCATAAGAGGGAGGGGCTGGGGGAGGGGCTATTTGATCTTAAGTCCTCCCCCCTGCGGAGGCAGGAGGGCAGGGGAGGGCGCCCCCCGCTGGGGAGAACATCCCGGGTGAGTGAGCAGGTAGGGACCGCAGGAGGCTGAGGGGCAGAGGGCGGGGCCGGGGAGGGGACGCGCCATAGCCCCCCCTCCCCTCCCACGCACCCCCCTGCTACGTCAGAAGCTCCGGGGCCAGCTCCGAGTCCTGTCGGTGGGGGCAGCAGGATGCTGGTGGAAGCAGAGGGGGCCGGCCGGGTGCCTCCGCAGCTCGGCTGGCAGGGCCCGGCGGGGCGTGTGCTGCGGCTGGTGCTAAGCCCCCGGCCCCACCCCTCCCCATGCAGCCCTGGCAGTGCCTCCGGCGCTTTGCCCTGGCCTGGTGGGAGAGGACAGCGGAGGGCAGCGCCCGATCTCCCAGGGAGGAGGCTGGACCGAGGGAGCCCGGGGGCCGAGGGGAGCCAGGTGAGCAGGAACAAGGATTGTGCCAGGAGGAGATCCCGGACTGTTTTTCCCTCTCTCCAAATGCTGGGGAAACAGGAGGTCCTGCCGCCCCCAACTTTAGGGCAAGTGCTTTCCCCCCTGGTGGCGCTGGTGGAGGGCTCCTGGATGAAGCCTTCTCAGGAGCTGTCGGAGCTACTGTTGTTTTGGGGGAAGGGGAAACAGATGAGGACTGGGAGTGCGGGATAGCTGACCAGACTTCGGACTTGTAGGTCTGAGTGTTCCCTGGTGTGGGGTTTGAGCACTTCGTGTGGGGACGTTGGATACCTTCTTCCCGACTCTGGGTATCTTGGTCTGGGTGACCTTGAGCCAACTGCTTTGCTGTCTAACTTCATGCCTCAGTTTCTCTCATTCCCTTCCCTATCCCTCTTGCTGGTTTTAAAGAACTGATGATGCATTTGATGGAGACTGTCACTATGAAAATGTGAAGCTCTGTCATTCTTAGTGGCAGTTGTTGTGGTGGTTTCTCTGGTGTGGTTGTGCGTGTGTATGTATGTGGGGGACAGTTTGGGTTTATGCATGAGGGCTTTCGCTGGTTCTGATTGGTGTTGGGGTCACAGCGAGCAAGTGTCAGGGCCTGGCATTCACACAGGAAGGAGGGCTCCAGGCGAGCTAAGAGTTGTCAGGGCAGAGACTTAGCTGGTGGCCTGCTGTAGAAGCAAGGCTTGGGGGTGAGGGCTCGGGGTGTAAGGGGAGGGGGTTACAAGAATAAGATCCCCCCCACCCTCCACCCAGATTGCCTGGCACCCAGGCACCATTGGCAGCGAGTGCAAAGGCTTTGCCCTGGCTTCTTGCCACCATGCCTTGGGGACAAGAGGGTCTTTGTCCAGTGCCCCCCCACCACCGCCCTGTTCCTTCCGCCCTTACCATGATGGCCGATTCTCTATGATGACCCTCAGGGCTGGGATGGAGATATGGGTCCCCCATGTGCTCTGGGGATCTGGAAGATGCAACTGTGGTCCTCAGGCAGGGCTGAGTGGAGAGGGGGAACTCTCCTAGGGGAAGGATCCCTGGGAATGAGCCATCAGGAGGCCTGTCCCCCCACCCCAAGCCTTCTGCTTGCCTCCTTGTCTAATGGGGGGGGGTGTCTGGGGTCTTTGTGGCCTGATTCCTGCTGAGCTCCAGGTTTTTTAAAGATGTACAGGGTACAGCGTTGGGTGTTGGGATGCAGAGCCTCAGACGCTCTCTCTTTCTCTCTCTCTGGCCAGGAACCCACCCTGGAAAAAGGGTTTAATTAGAACCATTGATTCCTTCTCTGGCTGCGGGCATCGATCTCAACGGTGTGGTCAGAGCTGGGGGGCGGGGGTGGCATGGCGACTGTCTGCACAGTGCCAACCTTGGCTTTCTCTGACAAAACCCAAGCTTGGGAGGGAGGGAGCTGGGCTCTTTAAAGTACCACGTCTGTTTGAGCCCCACCCCCACTCCAGGTCAGGTCTTGGGGAAAGAAGGGAGTGGGAGTTGAGGATCTGAATGGAGGGAGGGGTGTTTGGGGTTCGGATCATACTGAATGGTGGGCCTGGGGCTCTGGAATGGAGGGGCAGCTGTGGTTGGGTGGGGTCCTGCGAAGGGGAGTCAGGAGGCAGCAGAGGGGGCCTGTGGGTGTGGGGCAGGCCGAGAGAGTTCAGGGGAAAGACCTAGGGCTTGCCATAAAAGCTTCCCTTTCGAGGAATCCCAAGCACTTTATCTCCTCCAGCCCTGGCAAGGAGATCCAATTTCTTCCTTTGCTTGTGTCCTCAAGGCCCAGAGAGGGACAGAGACTACCTCAAAGGCCCAGCAGGCCTGGGTGTGGCCTTTGAGCCTGGCTGCCTGAGCCAGTGGCCGCTACCTAGGCACAGAAAGCTGAGGGTGAGGCTCCTGGCAGCCTGGAATCTGGCTTCTGGGCTTGGTGGGAGGTGGGGGACAGCTTGTGCCCCCCAAGCCCTGACTGCCTGTCGTGGGTGGGCTGGTGCAGGTGCAGGCTTCAATGAGCCACTTAGATGCTCTTTGAAGAATCCCTTGCTGGCTTCCTAGGGCCCATTCGAGCAAAGATAATAAAAATCTGGCCGTCAGCGGGTTTGAGGGCTGCACTCGCTTCCCCTTCTTTCATTCCCAGCTCTGAAAAGCAGAGATGCAGGCTTTGGATTTGGCTGCTGCCCCAAGGGAGAGAGGGAGGGAGGGAGGCAGAGGAGGAGGGACCGATTTCCTGGCAGCCCGGGAATTGCTGGGGAGGTGGGCCGAGGGGCAGGGGCTTGGTCCCCATCTCCTTCCAGACAGTCTTGAGGCCTCGATGGGGCTCCTATGCCTGATACCCAGGCTCTAGCTTTCCTTCAGTCCCAGAGGCCGGCAGCCCTCTCTGCTCCGCTGCTCCCACCGTCCGCCCCCCCCATGCCACCATCTCCCTCCCCTTGCTGCCCCCCCAACTTCTTCCCCTGGTCTCCCCTCTCTCTGCCCCTCAGTTTCTCCTGCTCTGCACTTCATTCTCTCTCTCTCTTTCTCCCCCCACCTTTTCTCCCCTTTTCTCGCTCTGTCTGCCCTCCTCCCATCTGTCTGTCTTCCTCCCCCCAGCATTGGTCCTGCTTTCTAGGACTGTCTGGAAGGTGGAGAAGCCAAGTTGGGGGGTGGAGGGCAGCCGTAAGCACTGAAGGGACAGGTCTGGGTTGACTATTCTGGTCTGTCAGGTGCCATAGTTATCAGAGTCCAAGCGGAAGGGGGCTGCTGAGCACTTGGAGAGGTGTAGTGAGGGCCCCATCCCCCTCCCCACACCACCGCAGGCACCTTGCCCTGACCTCGGGCTTTGACACTCCAGTTCTCCTGCCGCCTTCTGCTGCTTGGCTGCCCGGAAACCAGCGCCTCTGGCCTCGGCCCGTCCGCCCCTCTGGTCACCCACAGTCCCAGGCGCCGCTGCCGCCCTGTCCACTCTCCCCCTCACCCCCACACCGTTTCCAGATCGGAGCTGGGGAGGGGGGCCCCATCCCGCCCCTCACCCCCGGTCTCGGGTAGGCCTTCCTGGAGCCCCATCCGGGCCCTGTGCCCTCTTTGCCATCTTGTCCACTTCCCATATAAAAGACAGGACCATCGTGGAAAGAGCACTAGACTCCGAGTAAAGGGACCTCGTTCCCATTCTTCCTCAGCACCCAAATGTCCGAGTGACCTTGAGCAAGTCCCTGTCTGATGCGGGCCTCTTTCCTCACCTGTGAAATGAGGGGGCGTGGGCTGGATCATCTCCAAGGTCTCTTCTGACAGTCCCTGGATGTTGTGTCTCTCTTCTGGGTGATTTGCATATGCTTTGCATATATTAATGGTGCCTGCTTGAAGGGGGAAGGTGCCACCCACAAGGACCAGAGTCCCACCCACCATTCCGACTTCCCTTGCCCATTGGCCCATGCTTTCACTGCTAGAATCTCCTAGGGGGGTGGAAGCTGAGGCCGGATCGTTTCCTGGGGAGGTGGGTCTGGCCCCTGGGTTCCAGACGTGCTGGAGGCAGGATGCGGGGTAGCCCCAGGAAGCCAAGCGCTGTGTGAATTTACTGAGGTTGGCTGTGGCTACCATGGGGTGTAGGAAACCCTGCCGAGGCTGGCTTGGGGGTTTCCCTCCTCCATTCCCAGGGCCTGAGCACCCTCTAGATGCCAAGGAGCTTAGCCAGGTAAAAGAGTCCCTCCTTTGGGGTCAGCTCCCCCCACATAGCCCAGGGCAGGTCACGCTGTCTTGTAGCCCTGCCCACTTCTGCTCAGGCCCCTGGGCTCTGGGTATTTGTGAGTTGCAACTCGGACCTGAGAGCTGGTCACAGGACTAGGTCATTGCATCTCTGGGCCCTGCCACTGAAGGTGAAGCCCCATGCTCCCTGCAAGGGTCACAGACATCATCAGGGAGAGAGGATCTGCTGCCCCTGGTTCTGTCCCACCTCCATCAGCCCAGCCTGTCTCGGCGGGACTGCCCCCAGAGCCTCCTCCCCAGCCTCCTGGACTGAGCTCTGTCTGGCACTGGCCAGTGTCGTGGATCCCAGCCCCCAGTCCTGCCTCTGTTGCTTTCACCCCTATAAAGCCCATCACTTGGGGCAAGGCCGGGATAAAGGTTGGCAGCCTGGAGAAGATGACGTGGGGCCACTGAGTCATGGCAAGAATATCTGAAGACAGAAGCAGAGATGGCCTCCACTACCAAGGAGGACTGGGCCAGAGGAAATGGATCAAGAGGGATCAAGTTTAGATTTAGTCTTAGAAAGGAACCGTCCCAGGGGGCAGATTCATTTCTGACCATGGGACTGCTGCGAAGATGAAATGCAATCATAGATGAAAATGTCCAGCACATTGCTTGATATATATTAAACACTCAATAAATGGTGTGGCAGAGAGAACGGATGTCTCTGAAACCGGAAAAGACCCTTCCCTAACCTCGAGACTTAGGATTTTGCAGGGAATGAGAAGTTGGAGGGACAGTTCCCAGAAGAGCTGTTTCTCCCAGTTTCTCCCACACTCAGGCTGCCGCTCCCCCAGCGCACTCATGCCTCCTGCACGCACTGGGCTCAGGGCCCAGCCACCCGGGGACACCCTGCCCTCATCCGCTCCGTTGCGGGTGGGCAGACGGAAGGGTTTGGGGGTGAGAAAATATTCTCCTCCCCTCCCCCCTATCTTTGCCCGGACAGCTTGGAAGGAAACAGGCCCACGCTGCAGTAGGAGGAATAGAGGTTAGATAGAAAAGAAAGCCTCGCAGGGTGTGTGTGTGTGTGTGTGTGAAACACTCCAAGGTGGGGAGCTCTGGTGGTCTTTGACCTCAGTGATAGGTGTGTGTGAGCACGAGTAGGCTGGTGTTGTACCTAAGGGCAGGGGACTGGTTGGCATGACCTTTGAGATGACCTTTGGGCCATCCTGAGGAGCTTGATAAATCCACTTTCACTCTTGTGGTTGTTGTAGTTGGCTGACTACAAGGTACCAGGGTCCATGAGACAGAGGAGTCGCCCTGCTGGGGAGGAGAAGGGGCCTGGGGAGTCGCTCTTCGATCCCCCAGGGCAGAGAGGTGGAGTGCAATGGGAAGAGCAAGCACTGGACTAGGATCAGGTGTCCTGCCTTCCCTCCTGCTGTGTGACCTTGGGCAAGTTAGTTGCCCACTCTGGTCTTCAGTGTCCTTGGTATGAGAAAAGAGGGTGGAACTTGAGAATCTCTAAGGTCTCTTCCAGCTGTCACAACTTCTACCTCCTTCCTCTCCCCTGAGATAAAACATGCCTCGCCACAGAGAGGGTGGGAAGAATATTTCCAAGCTCCAGCTAAACCTGGAAAAATGGAGATTTGGCCCAAGAGAATATTGACAACGTGTGTGAGGGCAGGCGCGCGCGCACACACACACACACACACACACACACACACACACCCCTTACAAACAGTCCAAAGGCACGTTTTGCCTAAGCCTACCCTCTCAGCCCAGAGGATGGATAAGCGAGTGGCCAGGGGATTCAGCTGTCTGAATCATAAACTCGCTGTTTTCCTCCCCTCCTGGCAGAGCTGGCGTTGCTACATTCCATTCCATTCAGGGACTAGAATCCAGTCCGTATTTTCTCCCTCAGAGGCACTGCCCGAGGGTGGCTTCCTCTCCCCCACAACCCTTTTCTGGTTCCCGGTAGCCTCTGCCACCTGGCCCAGTTGACTGCACCTCCCGGCGTGGAGTCCCGTAAGACTGGGAAGGAGCTGGGTTTTTCACAAGCCTGCCTTCCCCACCTCGGCAAACGTCCCCATCCCAGCACACTGGCTTCTCTTCCATCCCAGCCACAGAGCTTGCCGGAGACCCCAGACCCAGGGGCCCACAGGGAACCCTCAGACCCAGAGACCCCATAGAGCAGCCCAAGCCCAGAGACCGCTCTGGAGAGGCCTAGCTAGAGATGTTTCTGCAGAGCCTGGGAGGTGGTTGTGGGAGGCTACCCTGCAGGCTCCCCACACCTCCAGGGCATGTGGTAATTGCAGACACAGCGGGCGTCTGCGGCGTCACCCAAGGCACTAGCATCTGCCTCATTGGGAAGAATGAACGATTCCATCTCTTCTCTTCGGGAAGGCATTCCACGGCTCACCGAAACCCTTTCAGAGAAAGACTCGGCCCTTCTGCCCGCTCTCCTGGGCTGCCCCCGGCCCACTCCGCCCCCACCCGGTGGCTGGGCTGGCTCCATGCGTCCCCATTCGTGTCCCAGTCGCTTTCTAAGAGAGAAGGCTCTGAGGAAGAGTGAGGGCTGTTAGGACTGGCACGGACTCTCACTTTGCTGGACCCTGACTTTTAAGACTCTCCCTAGCCTGGGTGCTCAGGGATTTCTGGAAGTTAAAAGGAGAAGGGGACTGCAAGTGGCTTCCTGGAGGAGGTGGGAGAGCAGGAAAGCAGCCCCCAGAGGGGCCAGACCTCAAAGATAAAGCTCAGGAGATCCTAGTCCGGCTCCTCCTGAACCCAACGGCTCATCCCCTCCCCTGGTCCCTGGTCCCTCCGCAGCCCAGAGTTAGAATCTTCTGCCTCCCACCCCTAGGATGAGGCAGAAGGAGACAGAAGCAAAGCCTTCTCTTCCACTTATTGTCCTTCAGAAATTACATATCCTGGAGCATGGGCTGAAAAGAGGGGAGACAGCCAAGGCTTGGGGAGGCTAGATGGAAGGCAGCTTAGCTCAAGGGTCAAGAGCTTGGGCTCTGGAGTCAGAGGTGTGTGGTTTGGGGCAAGTCACTTCGCCTCTGAAGCTCATTTTCCTCATCTGAGAATTGGGGCCAATAACAGTGTTTTCCTCAAAGGGTGGGGTACCAGGATTAAATGAGGTAATTTAGGTAGAGGTCCTAGCTCACTGGAAACCTTCAAGAAATAGTAATTTCCTTGTCTTTGTCCTACTCACTGTCCAAGGAATGACCGAATGGGGGAAGCTGTTTTGTCTTCCTGGAGGAAGGGGCATACATGAGAAAACCTCTTTAGTTTTTTTTTAAACCCAGATCCTCACCGCAGTTTATCTGGGGCTGGGTCCCTTGAGCTGCCACTGAAGGCTGGTGGTGGGAAGGAAGGTAGGCCTCCTGAGTCTTCACTCCCCTGGATTCTGTGTCCCTGTCCATCTGCCCCTTCCACGCCCCACCCCAAACAGCACTGCCTTGTCCAGGAAGCCCTCTAGGGCTAGATCTGTCAGTGAGCGTTCTTGATTTCTTCCCTCAGTCAATGTCCCCACATCTGGGTACAACAGCTGCTTCTCCCTGGGACGCCTGCATCTTGGGTAATCGGTGGGAAAATTGGAACCATGAGATTGGCAGGGGGCTCTGAGAACTCTTGCAGCCAGACGTGATGTGGGTATGGATGGGTCTGAGCCAGCCAAGTGAAGGAGAGGGGGGTCCGAGAGGGTCCTGGCCACACTGTCTCCGGGCCGGAAGGGGCTTCCTGCGCCTTCCCCAGGATGAAAGGCAGTAGACCGTACTGCAGCAGGAGGGGGAAAGGGTACAGTTAGAAGGACTTCCCTGCAGGGGAGGGAGGGCGGCAGGCAGCCGTGAGGGACAGCTGAGAGGGGCTCTGCCCCGGTGCTTTTTGGGTGTGAAATGCCCCTGTTTCCTCCGTTACAGGTGGTGGGGGGGCCTTCCTCAGGGTTAGGGGGTGAGTGGAGCAGATGGGCGTCTCGGGCTGGGAGAGGACTGTTAGCAGAGCAATGATGGCAGGCAACCTCTGACTCCGACCCCACCAGCCTTCCAATGTGTGGTGACCTTGGTTGCGCAATGCTGATGGGCCCTCCAAGGCGCTATCATTTGGGATCTTATGTGAGCACTCCAGTAAAGGGCCTGCCCCCGTTTCTGGGAGGAGAATCAGGCCTGGCTTGTTGGCTGTCTGTCCTAGGGACCTCATTCTGGGGATCCCATGTTTTCTGTGTCGTCCTGCTGTCTGTCCTCCTGTCTGTCTCCCACCAGTGTCTCTGCCCCTTCAGCCCCTGCTCTTCCCCCAACACCCAGTCTCTATCCCTCCTGCGCCCCCAGCCCCCCAGTGACCCCTAAAGGGACGGCTCCTAAGGCTCTGCCTTGCCCTGTCCCTGCCCCCCTCCAACCCCATGGCCCAAGGCCCCTGCTGGGGGCCCATCCCACTTTGGGAGCCCCACCCTGGACCCCTTGCTCTCTCCAACTCCTCTCCTCTGGCTCTGGGCATTCATTCACGACTTTCCTCCTTTCCTGTCCCTCACCCAGGGCTCCAGCGTGCAGCGGGAGGGAAGGCTCCAGGACTCTGTTCCCTCTGTTTAAAGTCTCCAGGTTAGTAAGCCAGGAGGGAGGCCTCCCCCCACCACCCTGCCTCGCACTGCTCTTTAGCCAAATGCCTCTCCCCAGCCTAGAGGGCCAGAAGTGGGGGAGGGGGGCTATCCCTGGTGGGCCCAGGCCTTTGCCAGGGGAGGGGACAGCAGAGACTTGACTCTGGGGAGGGCAACTTGCCTGGCGGAGAACGTGTCTATGTGTGCATGTGAGTTCGTATGTGCGTGCATGTACATAGGAGTGCCGGCTGCAAAGCTTCCATGCAGTTGGGGCTGGGAAGCAGGGGAGGAGGCAGGGGCCCTCTGCTGAGGGGCCTGCGGGCCTGGGGAGAGGGGATCAGGAGCAGGGGGCCCTTCTTACGGAGGGAAACCCGTGTTCCCGTGGAGGCCAGAGGGTGGGGGGTGGGACATGGGACCACAATCCACCTCAGTATAGCTCTGTTTAGTTTACAGGCACTTGCAAACCTGTGATCTTATTTCATTTATTCAATGATTCAGTCATTCATTCATTCATTTGTCCGTCCGTTCATTCATTCAATAAAGATTTATTAAATACCCTCTCTGTGCCAGGCCCTGGGCTAAGGTCTGAGTCCAACAGTGACCAAGACAGATAGGAGTTCTTCCACTGTTTAAGTGCTGAGCAGATAGAGGGCAAGGAGTTGGCTGAATTCCCCGGCTGTGGAGCCCGGACTGTGGCTCGGCCAGCTGACTGTGACTCTGTGTCCCCAGCCACCCTGTCCGCCCCTGCTCCCCTATCGGCCACTGCTCTGTACTTCATGTCCCTGTAGAGTGTCCCTTGACCTGAAGGCGCCCCTCACACAGGGTGCCCCCACCAAGTAAGCGGCGATCGAGGCCTCAAGTCCCTGGGGACTTGGGCAGCATTGTTGGACCACTGCCAAGGACTCTTCAGAGGGCTTCAGGGAGCCGACCCCCTACTTCTGGGCCCGGGATCAGCAGCCTGGGGCACTGGACTTGAGAGGCAGCCTGACCTGGGTTCAAATCTTCACTTAAGCCATTTCCTAGCTCTGTGGGCCTGGACAAGCCACTTTTCCTCTCTGAGCCTCAGTGTTCCTGCCTGTAAAATGGCAGGGTTGGCAGGCGCCTGGCTGGCTCAGTCAGTAGAGCATGTGATTCTTGATCTTGGGGTCATGACTTCGGGCCCCACGTTGGGTGTGGAGCTTACTTAAAAAAAAAAAAAAAAGAGGGTAAGTTAAAAAAAAAAAACCTGGCAGGGTAGATGAAAAGAGCACAGGAAAAGCAGCAGCTGGTCCAGAGCCTGGCCTACAGCAAGGACGGTCCACTGCTGGTTCCCTTTCTGCCCACGCCCCCTCCCATCCTGGGCAGCCTGAGCCCCAGTAGTGTCTGCTTGCTGCTCTGTGCCCCCCCGCCCCCGCCCCAGGGGAGCGGGGCTGCGGGATCTGGGTCTTGGCCGTCTGCAGACTCACGTCCTCCGGTCCTTCATCTCTCTGAAGGATGCTGCGGCCCCAATCTGGGCAGGCAGCTGGGGGAGGCGGCCCTCCTTGCCTCTGTGGCTGCTGCCGACGCCTTGATGGCTTTTTAATAACTTTGCTCTGAGACAATCTGCAGAGCGCTCGTTTGTCTGCCTCTTAATTAAAATTACCGTTTTCCTAAAAGAGCAACGAGGCTGCTCCCCTCCCTCCCCCACCCGTGGCTGCTGCTGGAAGGGGGAGGCAGAAGCAGTTGAGACTGCAACTCTTCCCCTCCGCCCAATGCCACCCCCCCACCCCAGTCCCAGTCCCAGGGGCCACCAAGCCCCTTTCCCCACACCCACAGTAGAGGGGCCGAGGCTCAGCCTCCCCAGTGGGCTTGGGGGGCAGGGAACCAGGAGGAGGGCCTGAATGCTCTCTTCTCTCACCCACCCTTTTCTAGAATACCCCCAGAAGCAGGGAGCTCAGTACCTTCCAAGATTTCCTACATCTGTAAAGAGAGGAAACAACCCGGAACTGCCTACCCTCCCGGAGCGGAATAAGATGTGGATGGGTTTTGGAAAAGTGAAGGATTATTACGGGTGGGGAGGGGTGGGGGCTGTCCACGGAGGTGGACACAGTGGGGTCAGGGCCTCACCATTGACTCTGGTTTGGTTACAAGAGACCTCCGAGCTCCCTTTGTGGACTCCGAGTCAGGCCACCTCAGGAGTGGGGTGGGCCTGGCGAGGTGGGGGGCTCATTTAGTCCTTGCTGAGTTTGGGGGCAAAAATCATCCCCAGTAATAATGAAAATACTAATGACCAATATTTATTGAATGTTTACTTGATAATACATGAGCCATACGCTGGGTTAAGCTCTATTCGTTTTATCCTCACAACCCACCAGCCTGTGGCCTCAGTGCTGTTCTATGTTGTACGGGGGAGGAGACAGACCAGAAAGGTTAAGCAACATGCCCAAGGTCACACAGATGATCCATTATGGCATTCTCAGCCCCACTCCCCTTCTGCCTAAAGCGCTCTAGCCTCTTAGGTCTAGCCTTAGTGTCTCATGCTCTACGCGGAGCGGTTCACCTCTGCCTCTCTCTGCCGTCCTTCGAGCAGGGTTCCTCCAGAGTTCATGCCACTGAGAATTGACTCTGAGGTTCATCTGCACCTTCCTCCCCCAACCCCATTCCTGGTTCCACCCCTGGGGCGCCCCAGGGGCTCCAGACCCTGGAGTGGGGGAAGCTGGAGGAGGGGGACTGGAGGTTAGGGGGTTCCCATTTCCAGACCTCCTTTCGTTTGGGGCAGAGTTCCTCTCCACGTGGGGAAAAGAGCCTGGGGCCAGGGAAGTAACTCGGTGACTTGATTGTGACGGCAGCTGCTGCTTGGTTGTGAACGGGTCTTAAGTCGTGGCTTCATCGCTGAGGCCCGCCTGACAAACCATTCTGGAGGAGGTGGCCATGTCTGGGGCCTCGAGATCCAGCATCAGGGAGGATCCTTAGATGTCTTGTGTCTCCAGCAGCTCCCACTGCGCCTGGCCTGTCTCCACTGTGAACCTTTGCTTCCGTGACTCCTCTTCCAGGAGGCCCCCTCCCCTTCAGGGAGATGACCACCTCCATTTCTGTTCCTCCCTGAAGTGCCTCTCCCCGACCACCTCCAGGCTTGCCCCTCTGAACACCCGTGGCATTGTCAGATCTTTTACGGTCATTGGCTCTGGATCCAGTGGAACCTCCTAGTCCACTTTTGCTCTCGGGGACAGCAAATGCAGTGCCTTCAGGGGCAGGAAATGCGCGAAGCTGAGGACCATAGGAACGGCAGGAACTGTGGTGAGGGACAGTGCATGTGCTCCTTAAAAACAGGAAAACAGGACACCACCAGCCAGACGAAATACCTGTGGCCCAGTGTGGCCCCAGTGTGATCCTTGCCAAGCTGTGATTCATTTATCATGGTGACTCACCAAGTAGGTGTGTGCTGTTTGTTGAGTGAATACATGATCGCACATGGGCTAAGCATGGTGCTAGACACTTTACGTGTTTGATTCTTCCCATCTTCCCAAGGCAGGCACTGTTTTCCCACTTTGTCATTGTGGAAACTGACAGCCAAAGAAGTAAAGTGACTCCGTCAGATCACACCTGTGTGAAAGGGCCTCGGCAAGATTTGAGCCTTGGCTTGCTGTGTCATTCCTGCTGTCTGGTCGGGGGCATGTGGACACATGCGTTCGGTCCCTGCCCTGGGCGGCCAGTGGCCACCTGGTCGACACGCGCCGCGGGCCCTGTGAGGAGGTAGGACTGAAGGAGGTGAGGGCTGCAGAGGCTGGGAGGGAGCAGATGCCCCTCACCCCAGCACACCCCTCCTCCCTCAGCTTCCGGTCCCATCCCAGCAGCCTGGGAATGGTAGCGTGGTGACAGGTGCTGAGCTGCAGAGATGACAGCACTGCTGATTCCCCCATAATTACTGTCTGATTACTGCCAGAATTAGCCACCGCACGAGCATGGGATGCAGATATGGGGCACGGTGCGGGGAAGCAGCTGGGGGTGAGGGGGCCTCTCCTTCTGAGCCTGGGACCCTCCGGCAGTAGGGCAGGGTCAGCACTGGGGAGGAGGAAGTAGAATAGAAAGGAGGAAGCACTGTGTGGTTAATATGCATCAGATATTATTATGTGGGCTGTGGTTTTCCAGTCCTCAAAGTTAGGCGTACCCCCGAGATGGCTGGCTGCCGGACGGGGCATCAAGGGCCTCAGGCCACTAACCAGAGACTCAGGCAGAGCAGGCTGCCTAGGCAGACTCCTGAGTACACCCTTTGGTGCCTAGACCTTGGCTCTTCCTCGCTGGGGCTGTGGGGGATATAGTTGCAGGGAAGGGCTGAGCCCCAGAGCAGACTCCCACATTAGCAAGGCCAGGCACCAGAGGACAGATGGAAGTGCCTGGAAGGAGGGGGCCGGTTCAGCTGACCTTGCCAGAAGAGTCATCCAGCCCAGGCAGGAGGAGTCAAGTTGGTCCCCGAGGTTTGAGGTCAGGGGAGGCCTGAGAGTTAGCAGCAGGAGGTAAGGGAGGTGTGTTCTGGTCCCAGAGCAGGGCTGGGTATGTCCTGGACACTTGTTACCCCGGCACACATGCTGGGGGCAGGGGGAGGGCTGGTGAAGGCAGAAGCAGAGAGGGGTTATTTGGGCTGCTCAGACCTCATCACACCATCAGAGCAGTTTTGAAGGCCACCGACTAGGAAGAGTGGTGACAACATGGGGCTCACCCAACAGAAGGCAGTGCAGATGGCTGGGGGGGCTAAAACCAGGCCATAGAAGGAAGGATCTGAAATGTTGGGCTCAGAAGAGGAGACTCAGGTTCTGAAGCCCCCGTCCTGCTCTGAAGGGAGAGGTCGTGACCTGCCCCTGGGTCCCTCTGAGGGCTGTGGGCATAGACGCTGGCTCATTTTAGGGAAGGCGGAACCCCACATGATGATTGATGACTTTGGAGGTAATGAGTTCCCCATTCCTGGAGGTATCCAAGCCCTGGCTGGATGGCGTTCCCGAGGTCGGGAGGGTTTCCAGTTCCCCATGGCAGGCATTGGGAGGACTCTGT